GTATTAAAGTTGTTTTCAATAAAACATTTTGGAAACAATTGTAATTCGGTAATGTACGATAGTATTTGTTCTGTTTGTAGTTGTTAATATATATTCAATATAGGATACCCGTTTATATCTATCCAGAGTATATTGCAACTTTTGATTAGCTATCTCTATTGTATTCGCAATTTCGCTCCTTTTCTGATATATATTAATACTCGGGATTATTCTGTTTCTCTTTGTTCAAGGGATATTCCTGTTCATACATCCACTAGCGCATATAAGGTCCATCCCGGGTATGTTTTGGTTTTTGTAAATGGGAATGTAAAGAGTTCCTGTACATATAGAATATCTGATTTATTTTCAAATACCATTTGTAATATAATATTATAGACCTTTAATATCCTGTTTATATTTGCCTAGCAAACTGTTAGATCCTGTATTCTGGGTTATTGATAACTATATATATCATCTTGATACATCCGGTATCTACTTATATATATTGGATTGGGGGTTTTCTTCCATTTCGATATCCTACTGGCTATTAGCTAGAACCTTCTCATTAAGATTTGTATTTACCAAGGGTTTCCATCTCGATCGGCTTGTTGCTGCTATACCTCTCTTGAACTGTGTTGTAATTAAACTGACCCTGCTTATTTCGTAAGCAGTAATCTGTTTTCCCTAACGTTTTGTTATTGAAGTGGGTATGAGTATAGATATGGCTATGTCTGGGATAGGTCTTTTCTTGAGGTTATCCTTGGATTTCTGGTTGACAAGCATTACCATTTCTATTGCTAAAACCGGTTTTTATAAGGCTTTAAGTTGTAGTTTGGTAGATACCATAATTTTACCATCCACTACTTTGAGCATCGCTAAGCAGTTTTGATGTTTTGTGGCAAAGGATCCGAAACAGTTAGTATATTGTGCTTTTGTTATACAATTGGATCCTTGCGAACCTTTATATGTATCTTTTCAAATCCTATAGTTTATACAACAAATAAGCCTGATACATCTTGCTGGGTTATACCAGTCTTGGCAACCAATGTTGTATCAGGTTATTGTAGGTTTTGCCTTGATCTCTTATACTAGTTCGCTAGTGTTAAAGAGCCTAAAGCTACAAACTAGTTTTAGAAAGGATATTATCTATATGATTATGCTATTGTAGGGGTTAGCTTTGTGATATAAAGGTTTGCAGTTAACTAAGGTTTGGTTTATCTATACCTGAACCTTTGTTTTCATGTGATTCGCTGTATCGACTGAAAGTTCTGTTATTGTGCAAATTGATGTTGGGACCCCAGGGACTGTGTAGTTGAACTATGTTACCGATTGATGTATTTGTATACCTTGGCTGATTCTGAGGATAATCTTTTTGTTCTTCTGTGTGAGGAGTAGTTCTTGGGTTGCTGGGTTCTTTGGTGTGATAGCTTATCCTGTTTTGGTGGTAGATATAGTAGGGATATCTGCCAATGTCAAACTTGTGATTGTCTCAACAAAAGCGCTCCTTAGTGTGTATAAGACTGATCTACTGATCCGGGCTGCAGGACTGATAGCTATTAGTAGCCTATAGTCCATGCTCCAGGCAGTTTATATCGCCCATTGTTTGATATATTCGTTATTGTATAAGGCTTTTGATAAAGCCTTTTGAGAGGTGGGTAAATCCTCTCAGCCTGCTTTGTTTTGACTTGTTTTGGGGGTCTTGAGGATCCCTGTATAAATGTTGGTAATGATATATATCTTCAGAGAAGTTATATTTCTGATTATTGGTGATGTATATAATAAACTCGATAATGGGTTGGATTTATTGTTGATAGAGAGTATAAGGATTTCTACAATTCGGGTGTTCAGTTTTCTGGCAGTTGTTTATTCGTCCCCTGTGGCGAAGAAATTGACGTATCTTTCAATTGCCTTTATTAGGTTAGTTATAACTTTTCGCTGAATTCTTTCAATATATTTATACTCAGCGAATTTGGTTTTAAAGACTTTTATCGCTGGGTTAATGTTGTTGTTGTTCGTTTTGTTTCTTAGTTTGAGGATTGGTGGTATCTTATTGGTAAAGGTACACTGCCTTCTCTTTGAGCGATTTCTTAGATTGGAGGGTGTTTCTGGGTCCTGCGGATTGGTGAAATCTGTGTTTTCCAGGTTGATGACCTTGGGTGGCGTTGTGTGAGATACCATTTTGACTTGTATAGAGCGATATGTATTGTGTGTATTGTTGTGACTCTGTAGAGTTTGAATTCAGACCGAATTTCAACTTCTGGCGACCAGAAATTTTTCTTCGGAATATTGTGTTTGGGTGCAATGTGGGGAAGTGAACAGATGGGAGGAAGGTAACTATCCGGAGTTCAGCTTCGTGTCTTTGGCCCCACTATTGAAGAACGGCAGAGGCAAGCTTCTAAAGCATGATGCGATTCAGGTACCGACCCAGGATATCGATAAGCTAATTTATCGTAAGAGTGAGTTTTTTGTCGATTTAGGAAACAAGTTTAGAGTCGTTATCGTTCACAGCAAGAAGGCATACGCAGGCCAAAAGAATAGAGAGATTGTTCTCTTTAATGGCATTGAAGAGAATATTGAGAAGGCTAAGGATGCGATCAAGGAGCGATTAGTATGCTTTTTTTTTAATTTTGACAACTAATGGATGACTGCTGACTTACAATACAGCTTGTCGATTTCGAAGTCATTCGTCGCCAGAGCAGTTATCCAAGGACGTTGAGGCGGAGGCTGTGGTGAACGTGGTTGGCCCGGTGAACGATGTGGAATTGGCGGACGTGCCGAACGCGGTCAATAGACTAATGGACGGTGGGGGGGTTTGTCCTCCAGGTGTCAAGGCTAAGGAGTTTTCCTGTAACTTTGTAAGAATTGCAGATACATCTTTTTTTGTATTGATGATGATTGACTTATTAGGTAATAGATATTATTTAGTTCATTTTGTGAGAGATCAGCCGTTCTATTGAGGGCGCATGGAATATTACATTATATCAGCAATTTGCAGTGTTTTACTTCTCCCCTCTTTAGATCTCCCCTCCTGCTTTTTTCCTCTCCTTTCCGACTTCTAATAGTTGAAAATGAAAGCTCTCCTTTTCTACTTCTAATAATCAAATGTTATTATTTCCTTTTAGTCTTGAAATCAGAGAAGAAAATTTTAATTTTTTTTTAATTTTGATAAAGTGTTATATAATTACATTAATACAGTAAATTACTCTCATACCATGAAAATGATACCTATTTTACTCTCATGCCACTTAGATCCTATGATAGAGTTAGAATCTATAGTGGGAGGATAGAACATATATAGTAATATATTAGGAAATGAACGAAAGAAGCAAAGATATATATATATAATAAGGCAGAGGAGGAGAGGAGGGGAGAAGTAGAACACTGGCAATTTGTAAATCATGAGATCTTGATATTGTAGTGAAGAATTTGAAATCGACTCACCAGATTTCTCGCTTTGAAAGATTCACGTTGCTCTATAATTTGGATATTTTTCAAGGATGGATATGCAAAGTTTTGGAAGCTGAGGCGTGAGAGATATATATAGCATTTGGAGTCTAAGTAGGTGCCGGCATCTGTAAAGTCTGAGTTTCGTTTCTATATATTCAACTACATGCCTGCCCAAAGCAAACAACGCTAGTTGAACACCTAGTCTTTTCTATATCCAAAAATATCTATTGATTTTCGATACATGTTCATACAAATCCGCACCATCAATCCAATCCGCAAATTGCCTAGATAGATCAAGTCAGCCATCAAATACTTCAAAGCTCAAGAGCAACTCACCACTCTCCTCTCCCTAAAGTCCTTATACAAGCCGTCCCAGATATCTCTCCCTCTACAATCATCTCCTTCCGTCACTGGCACACATTTAGGCCCCTTTCCCACCCATTCCATATCCTGTAATTGCCATGGTTTCTTCATTGGCCAATCACTAAAATGCACGAATTTTGATTTTTTGAATACTCGTTCTGGATCCCATATATCTGTCTCGTGCCCTTTTCCCCAAAAGCCTTTATGTTTGGTAACAGGGCGACGGAATTCTCCGGTGAGAAGAGCATATATTTGGTGATCCAGTAAACCGCACGAGTCTTTTTGTTGGGTAAAGACGGAGTTTATGATGTCCATGTCGTAAGTTCCTACTCCAGCATTTTGGATCTCAATCTCAAGCCGTTCAAACTCGATGGCTGAAGGCTTAATCAGCATGATGTGAGATGATAGTTGCGGGATACCTTGAGCGTCAAGCCAGTATGCCCGTGGTGCGAGGAGTTGTGTCGAATCTGACATTGGGGCTAGGAACAATTCGTCCATAGGTTTCAGAACAGTGGAGTCAGAATCAAGAACGAGAAGTTTCTCGTAGGAAGTTTGGTTGAAGGCCAAAAGTTTGGTGTAACTCTCCGCCCATTCATCTATTGTCTATCAGCACTTTCATGACTTAAATAGCTCGAGGTATAGCAAGGGTAAGACTTTTTACCAGCTGTATAATGTCTATGCTGCAAAACCTCCACGTTTACCAGTTTCACTTTATAGTCGTCTCTCGCCTGAATTAACATTTTAGTAATAGCCTCCATGCCCCTTCCATTGGCATCCTCCACCCATTCATTTTTCCACAACTGCGGGTACAACAGCACCCTGCCAGCTTTGCTACCCAAATGATTCAACGACTCAAACAACATCAACGCATTGCACAAATGATCTTTTGATGTCGCATAAGTTATATATGCGTATTTATCCCACTCAATTCCAACTTCTTTGCCCGTCAAGGACTCCGCAAGAATAGGAGCCTGTTTCAGACATGCTGGAGTCTTGTATTGAAGGTGCAATGATTTAGCCTTGCGTGTTCCGTGAGGAAGTAGGAATAGTATGATGAGTCCACAGATGACGATGGGTATGGCTGTTCGTACGGGTCTTGAGCGAAAAATTTGTGCAATGCTTGGTTTGGCTGCTTTAGGAGGCGGTGGTTCATCGATATCGAAATTTATGACTGGTAGATAAGGTGAATTTTGTAAAAAGTCTGGTAGATCTCGCTGCGCTTGATGCGACATATCAATACAAGCTCAATAGAGCGTCTAAGTAGGAAAGGTACAATATCCAAAAAGAAGGGAGAATATATCACGTGATATATACTAATGCTCAAAATCTCGCAAATCTATCAAGCAAGAACATGTGTAGCTATCACTGTCAGTATCTGTAGCTATTGAGATAGCACTGGGACTAACAAAATGATGAAATCCAAACGCCGGGTCAAATGCTCAGAGTCTCGATAATCACGGGATTGCCAAATATGTGAGGCGTGAAAATACCTGTACGATAATGAGAGTGAATAGCAACCTTCCAAGCCCACAGCAATATGTTCCTTCCAATGGGATCTGATATGACCTGATATGCTACCCGTAAATAAGATATATATATTGTCGGAAACTAAGATCTGAAAGAGAGACTTGTCGTGGATAGTAAAGCGTCAAGGGCGGTGGGGTGTATTTTAAGACATTAGTGCTTACTAAGCCTGAAGCTTGGGCTTCGTTTTGGGATAGGGGTAAGTTATCACCGAACAAATAAATCATCGAGTCATGCCAAACAAATGTATTGTCAAACCCGACGAAAACACAATATCCTATACCAACCTAACAAGCACAAAACAAAGACTAGCAATCCCATATTCCCCCTCGCGCACATCCTAGTCCCATTCCCCAATGACAAATAACTATATCTAGGTCTAATTCCCTCCCAGAATTCTGGTCTGAAAGCTTTACTCGAGTAGGATGCGGTCGATAGCAGGGTAGCGGGATGGCAAGGTGCTAGAGGACGGAACATAGCTTTTAAAGCTTATGATTCTACCTGCTTTTACGGAGATTTTAGATGATGCGGAGGGACCACCGGCTCGGGGGGAAAATATGCTTTTGAGAGCGACGCGGATGATGGATGGTTGGGGCAATGGGTTTGAAGCGGAGGGATGGGATGCTGTTGTATTGGTGTATGATTCGTCCCTGATATATCATCTCATTTCATCTCTCATTCCAAAATAATAAATGATAGAGCGGGAGTGGGTGCGTACTATCGTTAATAACATACTCAGCTTGTCGATAAATCCCGTTGTCTAAAGCAAGCCCCATCACTCTGGTCGTGGTGGTGTGGTGGTCTGGTTGAGGTTACGTTCCGTGTACTCGAGCAGAATCATTTGACTCTGGATACCACCGAATAAGGATCTTAATCATCATCAAGATTTTGGAAAACTTCTTGCTGCATAGTGCTGTAAGTGGTATCATGAACGATATTTCGATGCTGTCAACGTGGATCCCCCATGAACCCCGCGAGTCATCCTTATAATGTAATTGGTACGCGCAAAAAATTTCATACTATTGCATGCAAGAATCATCACAACCGGATGCCTTTCACATGTCCTGATCAGTACAAATGGATGATCCATACACTTGCATGAGTTCCATCAACAGGTCATGAAGGATAGCTCTCTTGCAAGGGCCCAATTCTGTTGCACATCACAAGGAATCTTTAGTCCTGGGGTTGAATGTGTTCAGGTAATGCCAATTAAGATCCCATATCATTCTCTGGTCACCCAAAGTTTCGACGACGTCGTGGCATTTTGCTGAATGCTGTTCAACTCTGAATCTAGAATCCTTTGCAACTTAGAGGGAATGCAATGATATCTGGAACAATGAGCTCCGGCGACATTATCGTAGATAGTACTAGTATCTGCAATGCCCTCGTTAAAATAGTAAACAAAGGAGTGCTGTGATGTGATTTTTTTTTTACTTGAGCAGTATCGTATGAATAATATCGGATACCGGAAGGTATGGTAGGTGTCCCTGGCTGTACATTTCATCCATTTGACCGCGGATATCACGTCGATATCAGATATTAGGTTGTGTAATCTTACAGAAAAAGACAGATAGAATTCGTCCTGAGAACTAAATCGCCTCAATGATACTGTATACAATAAGCAAGCCCGGAATCGACAACAATAAAAGTATTGTATTAATGTTGCATATCTGAAATTCCGGATTCCGACAAAATATATATATTAATATTATTTCCGTTCGTGCTCTGTTTGGGACCGACAAAAGGAAAAGCCAACCAGTCGTCTACTTGAAATTAGGCTTTCAAACCGATGCAGCGATGACCCACCCAGACTGTAAGACTTACAAAGGGATATCGTTGGGGTCTTTCCGCCAATACTTACTCACAATGCAGATATGCTCGATTACAGTATATGCAGCAGCAGCAGCAGCAGAGACACCTTGAAATGGCGGAATGAGGTGCGAGCCAAGAAGTGGATGTTACCGCAGTTCAAGGTATTGTATCTCTGAAAACCAGGATGAATCTACCGAGTACCTATAAAATCAAGAAACCATCTCATCTCATTCCGCATCGCAATCTCTGTGCACCGGAAGAATTATCGAGGAAGGAATTATTGGAAAGATCCCAAGAGCAGGCTCGGAATGAGTTACAATTCCGTGAACAGCGGAACACGGTGCAAGAAACAAACCCTATCATGGCCGATGCATGGGTCCAAGAGTGTATCGTACCACCAGTACAGTGCCAATCAAGAAATAAATCCACCTATGAATACCTTTCAGTATTGTTTTGTTGCATATCTACTATTTTTCCAATTCCGCAAGTCCACAAGTCCGCAATTATCTGCCGAAACACCTCCATAATAGCATCGTGGTCAGGGAACTTTTGTTGTTGTTGTTGTTATTGAAAATCAGCTGAGGTATTATTGCCCTTTCATCTAGCCGATGGATAGCGGAAAAGCGGAAACCCGGAAAAAAGAAACGCAAAACAAAACTCTTGGACAAGCCATCAGCCATCAGCCATCGTGGCGGTTCAAGCCCCAAATCAAATATTAATATTATACCCACATAATATAATGTGTGAAACTCCTTTTGCCAAAGACCTTCTTTGTTGCATATCGTAAAACCGCCACATTCCGCAGTATCTGTGAGTTTATGAATTTGTAGGATCTGCTGGAATAGATCTAGAATGAGGATGGGATAGGATGTTGGATGATATGACAGCGGAACGGGATTTCGGAGTTGAAGGAATTGAAAGTTCTAGGCCCTGGACGGAAAAGGGAATAAGGAAAATGCAATGTTCTTAGATAATAAGAAGTCTTGTTGCATATCTTAAATATGATATTCCGATGCCGATAGCGAGGTTTTCCCAGTAGTGTGTGTGTGTAGGTATATATACCTAGTACATACCACATTTCTTAATGAGACCTGTGATGGTGGGAATTGGTAAAGACTTAAATCCGTGGAGGCAGTTAGACGGTTGAGACACTAACACGTCAAACTCCTCAGCCCGAGGAATTAGATGAACTATCTTTTGCGATGTATTCCGTTGGAGATAGTAGACGTACGTTGTCTGTGGAGCTGCGGCATCAAGGTTCATATTCATAGAAGATAGATTTTAGAACAAACGGTCAATCGGAAATCGGAATTTCGTTCCGTTGATCTACTGTACGTACTCCGAGATCTTTTGATGATTTCGTTGTATATCTTCCAAAATTCGAATGTTAGAAGATTGAGATATACAGCTGTGAAGTCTATGTTCTTGTTAAAGAGAGAAATACATACAAACAAGCTGAATGTCGAATGTCATAGTAATTCCGAAAATTCGGATATGTCAGACCTCCTTCATCTCGGCAATCCAATCAAATCATCATGGCCACCTGGCCACCCACCACCATTGCGGCGACTGAACTCACTCACTCACAACCACCGAAACATTCTCAAATGTTGCACATCTGATATCGCCGAATCTCACCCTCTTAATGAGCCTAGAAACCCGAAAACAAGCCAATATCCAGAAAATGTATCTTTACCTCCGAAACACATGATCCACGTGTACTACTCGAGTACATAAATCACAACACTACATCCGAATATTCGGCGCTCTAATTATAATCAACCAACCCATCGGTGTTTAAAACAGCTCAATATACCCCGAATAAAGTGATTCAATAATGATGATTGGAGAAAAAGAAATTCAATGATCTTTTGTTGCATATCTATTATATCCGAGTTGGACCGGTCTCCGATTTCTGTCTGGTGTTGTTCTAGTCTGGTCTTGTGCTGGCTGGTGTTGCTGATTCTGGGTAATGGGTATCTATCTTTATCTTATCCACAGTTAGTATTACAGTTAGTAAGTACCTAGTGTTATGATGCCAGCAGCTTTCTGAGTATACCTTCAGACAAGAAGGTATTCTGTGCTGGCTCATAGACTCAACTCAATACAGCCGGTCCGGTACACAAACATAAAGTCCGCATCGGTCGACGTTACATCCTTTTAAATACCAGTATCTACTCCTACGGTCGGAATTAGCCTCATCTATCCACCAAACCAGACCAGCAAAACACCCCAAAACAATCAAGCCCATCCAATGATCTAAAACCCCAAACCATTTGTTGCACATCTGTCTAAACTCCGAAATCCGTTACTTCCATCCATACCATCGGACATCAATGCAAGTTTGCTTTTTTATACTACTACTCTGTACTGATCTCTAACCCCTCTTTGTTGTACAAGTATGAGTACAGCGGTACTAAACACGGTACCGGTGCGCTGTAATACCCGAAATTACCGCCACAAACCCCGCCCAGTGCCACTCTTTATACAACCTCCGAACCTCACTCAACTCACCTCATCATATCACCGACCGACCCCCTTTCCATTTGATCAGACCATTAGATCATTGGACCGCTAACATTACCAAACCCCCGGAATTCTCAGCATCTTTTGTCTTGTTGCATATCTACACAAGTCCGAAACGGCGGAGATTACGTTCCTCTTACTATATAATTCGGACATGTGAATTGAGGATTCGGCGATCGGAAACGGATATCCTAATACATCGGCGTTATTTTACCAATCCAATCTTGAACAACAAAGTTGCAAACACACAGTAGGATCCATCATCCAGCATCCCCGAAACATCCATCGGGGTCATAAATGGGATTCTATTGGCCTTGATCAAATCATACTGCGTAGTTGAGATTCAAAGAAGTATTTGTTGCATGTCTACATAAGTCCGAAGCAGATGGGTTTCGGGGAAGACAATATAGTATGGTGTGGTGTTGTGTTGTGTTGTGTTGTGTTGCATATCTTCGTAAGTCCGAAGTTGATATTCGGAGATGGGTTTGCTCCGATGATTTGTTTTGGATGGATGCAGGTATATGGATTTTCCACGGTCGGAATTCCGCCGCTTGCTTCTAGATTCACATATTCATGCACAATTCCTTGTAGCACAAATTTACAGATCTCATATATAATCAATCGCCCACCACGGAGTTTAGGTGTTCCTCCGCGGAGAGCGAAAGGAGCCGCATGTCTCTCGCTTTCATTTCGCCGGACGTTGTACCGGTACATCATCTTATATCCTAGTGGAAAAACCGGGACATCTCACGAGTCCCGCGTTTACATAGCGTCCCACATCTCCGCCGTGAAACATTATCATCATTGGTCCACTAACCCCCGCCCAGATCCACGTTCCACAATAGATTTAGAACTTGTATCAAATGGCGGGGTCGGCTATACTAATATATCCGAGTTTCCCGCATTTACACAGATTGTATATAGTACTGTACAATGTAAGACTCTTACATACGATATTATTATATCACGAATCCACAAAGATGAAAGAGAAATAACCCCTAATCCCCGGTATTTGGGAAACTAGAAGTATAAAGCCCTTTCCTTTTGTTGCATAACTGAAAATTTCGGATTGTAGGATATGCGGAGTTTAATGTTGATCCTTTTTCTTTTCCCTCCGCCGAGTAATGAAGGAGGTTTGCGGATATATAATACACTTGGGTACCGGTACCGGCACTTGAGTATTGAGTTAGTATAATCCGCGGAGCAAATAAGTAGTCCTTACCTTCTGAGTTATAATTCACGGATGAGAGGGGCGGATGGAATGAAAGGGAGAGATATGTTGCATATCTACTACTAAACTCCGAAATTTCGGATGTAGTAGTTTCGGATGTAGTAACAATACTTCATCGTGTGTGGAGTTTAAAACCGGTGTTTTATTCCGTTCCGTCCCATTCGATTGGAGTGGTGAAAGAGGCTCATGTACAATGTATTCACATCACATTACATGTCCACTGTCCAGCGAAGTAAACCACAAATATATTTCCGAACCTGAACCCGAACCTGGAAAGGAATGATGGACCGAGTAAATATTACACCAGAGATAGAGCAGGGAAACATTTATTGTATATGTGATAAACTCTAAAATTTGGGATATGTTAATAATAACTTATAAGTCCATCATGTCAATTAGCATCCGGAATCTATAATCCAAAATATATACTCCCGTTATATAATGCTCGTAAAGGTAGTCTATCTATGTATATACTCTATATATACATATACATATAAATATACGATAAATTTCCACCCCACCAGACCAAGAAGCATATACTCCCTAATCTAACGTACAATTATAATAAAACATAGAGATCGTCTATTACACATTTATAAAACTTCAAGAATAGAAAAGAAAAAAGCAGCGTTCATCAATAAGTATCCAAAATTGATCCGGAATTTATATTCCATTTTCTACTCGAGTAGTGAAGCAGTGAAGAATGTACTCAGTATATGAAAAGAGTATCTAGTGTATGAGAAATGTATATATACTCGTAGAGATATGATATAATGTATCCTCGGACGCGACCACGACAGATTACATTTTGCACCGAGATTATTCGTAGAGGCTATTTCATTTTTCCCTTTTTCCATTTTTGTAATGTCTATAGGTATAGGTATAGGTATAGCTATAGCTATAGCAAGCTCACATAAACAAATTATCAAATAATCACTAACGTGGTTTATCAGTGCGTCACGCATATCAGTGCCTCGCGCACTTTTTCACTATTTTGCAACTCTTCAATTCAACACGCGTTTAATCAACAATCAACAATGAATAATACTTCAAAAGAAGCTCGGATTATCTTAGCTATTGAAGCTATTAATAAATCAAAAAAAATGAGTCGTTGGAGTGCTGCTAAACTTTACAATGTTCCTGAAACAATACTTCGAAATCAAATGAACAGTTTAACCCCGTTACAGGAATATCAACCATCAACTCAAAAATTAACTAAATTAGAAGAAGAAGTGATTCTTCAATATATTCTCGATATAGATACACAAGGATTTGCCCCTCGATTGAATGGTATAGAAGATATAGCGAATGATATTCTCGATATTTGTGGAGTATACTATGTTGGAAAGCTCTGGGCGTATCGATTCGTACAACACTGGCCAAAATTAAAGATACGTTTTAATTGCGTTTATAATTTCCAAAGAATTCTTTGCGAAGATCCAAAGCTTATTGAAGGGTGGTTTCGATTAGTATCGAATATACAGGCGAAATATAGTATTCTCGATTGCGATTTCTACAATTTCGATAAAACAGGCTTTATGATAGATATTATATACCCTAGAATAGTTATAACTAATACTGAACAATATAGCAGAAACAAAGCAATACAACCAGGTAATCGAGAATGGACTATAGTGATTGTATATATCAATAGTATAGAAAAAAATATTTCTTTATTTTTAGTAATTAAGGACAAAAATCACTTCTCGAGTTGATATACTGAAAGTGATCTCTTACTTGATTAAATGATTAAAGTCACTAATAATGAATAGATAAACAATGAGACAAGTTTAGAGTGGATTAAACATTTCAATAAGTATATTATTGCTTGAAAACAAGGTAGTTATTGAATGCTAGTATTAGATGGACACGAAAGTTACGAATCGATTGCATTTCAAGAATATTGCAAAGAATATAATATTATAACTCTTTTATTACCTTCTCATTTTTTGTATATTATTCAATTACTTGATGTCAGATGTTTTAGTGTTTTAAAACAAATGTATGGCCAACAAATTGAGGGATATATTAAGGCTTATATCAACTATATCACCAAGGTCGAATTCCTTATAGCCTTCAAAGCAGCATATCTATAATCAATAACTGTTCAAAATGGATTATCTGGATTCCGCGGAGCTGGATTAATACCCTTTGATCCTCAAACTGTTATTTCTAAGTTAGATATCAAATTATGAATATTTACGTCTACCAGATCTTCCTCTGTAGAGTTCGATCCTTAGATTTCTCAAACATTTTATAACTCGAACGATGCTTTTTCGTAATCAATTTTAGTTAAAAATCGAATTGTATAATATCAAGGAAACTTTTCTACATCTATATTTGAAACAGTTGTAGTTTTAGCTAAGGGTACAGAGATATTAGCTCATGAGATGATACTTATAAATGCTAAGATTCGTATTTTTCGAAAAGCAAATAAAGCATTGAATAAACGTTATAAAGCTAAAAAGAGTCGAATTCGTCAAGGAGGAATATTTAGTATACAAGATGGATATAATATTATATTACAGACTGATATAGATAATCAGATTCGATACAATAAATGCTTTAAGAGGGATAATTCAAATGGGGAACAATCAACTTTACGTTGTTATGGCTCTTGTGGTAAAACTGGTTATAATATACAAACTTGTCAGGAGGATTTAGAAGATTCTAGTTTATCAGATTCTGAATAGTTTCAATTAATTTTATATGTTGTGATTATTGAATAATATTTTGAAATGATTGAGTAGTGAAAAAGTGCGCGAGGCACTGATATGCGCGACGCACTGATAAACCACGTTATCAGAAATACCATTCCAATTCCTGCGGTTTAAATACATGCTAGTTGGAAACAAACGTAAAGAAAAAGGGGTCTGATGACTGAAAAACAAATTATCCAATAATTTCTTTTTCTTTTCTTTCCCCCCATGCCCCTCACAAGTCTCCAGTACTCCGTCAACCATTCTGAGCTGATACATATGATTCCAGCATCCCAATTAACAATTAACATTTAACCTCCTACCTCTCTCCCATCTCTCAACAAAAAAACATCTAGAAGTCATCCCCGCTGCAAACATCTCATCAACATAAATCGAAACGCCCTCCTTCACCCACACTCACTGATAGCAACACTTCCTTACATGACAAATATCCCATTTGAACCAATATGAAATCATCAATCCGAACCTAAAAGTATCGCTCGCTGGTATCGACTCCCATAGACCCTGATATTCGAGGATTTAAAAAAAAAGAAAGGAAAAAAACGGATCAACAGGTAAATCATAGACATCCGACTCCAAAGCCTCACTCACACCTTGCTCCGCCAAATTCAACAAAGCCAGAGATCCAGCGACAGTCCAACTAATAGGATGTACCATGTATTTTTCCAGTCGTAAATCCGAGTATATCCCATTGTTATCTCTGATGTCCATTCCCAGGAACCCATTGACATTCACGCAGGGATGCTAATTACCTCATTAAATTCATAATTGAATAACCACATTATTTTCCCACCCAAAGCAGTCTCATAGCCCTGTTTCTGTAACTTATTCATCTCGTCCTCATTCTGTGAAAATCTGATTCGAACCTCCGTGACAAGTACTGCGACCTTGATGCTTTTCCAGTGGAAGCCGAGTAAGGAAATATCGAAATCTTCCCGGATCAAGTCATTGCGGTACTGACCAATAATTCGCTCATCTCCATTGTGATAGTATATCATAACACCTTTGCAAAAGTCATTGTCGTCGCAAAAGGTTGCAAGAGCTCGTACATTCTCGAGAGATGATATCGAAAGATATCGGCTTGTTTTAATTTCGTAAAAAGGACGAATATATACCGATTTGCCTTGTTGAGATGTGTAGGAGCCGAAACGGTCGATTGAATTGTCAGGAAGAGGATCATTGAACACAAGAATGGAAGGATTGATGCCGATGGGTTCGAATTTGTAGTTTTTTGAAACCTTAAGTGTGGGTGGATAGGGACCAGTATGGTAGATGTTGTTCCTGTCTGTTTTCAACTACCATATTCATTAACGAAAGTAAAATAAAGGTATAACCTGGTTATCTTACCACCAAGCTGGGATGGTTCATTCAATCAAGCATGTCAGTAGTGCGAACCCATAAGGACTTGATACAACAATTTTTTAATGATATAAAAACCCAACTAACATGTGATCTGTAATTTTCAGAAATGCTAAGGTATGTTTGCAAGATCGATGTTTTACGATTTTCGTAATGAGGATGTATAGCGAAGGCTGATCCATGATACATGAAGAATGTCAAGCCTGTAAGCTTATCTAAAGGAATTGTTCGAATGCGGCAGGATACTTCAGATGAACCAGCAGAATAGTAGGATACTGGATCAGGTATATTAGGTGTGTCCCAGAGAGTAAGATTTTTAGGACGCCGATCTAGGTATATGCGTCCTCCCTAAGATAATTTTAGTTCATTATGTTGTTCGGGTCGTTGTTAGTCATAATATTCCTTACTTTAAGCTTGGCTTTAATGGACTTGACTCGAGAAGTCTCCAGGCAAGCGTACCACCAACCATGATTGCTATCTTGATGAACTGATTGTTGCTCCAAGAATTTGACTTGCACTAGACCCTGATTATCCATGGAAAGGTAAATAAACTTTGCGGTAGCCCTTGGGCTGAACGATTGGTCTCCCCTTTGCCAATTTCCCATTTCCCAAAGAAAACGGTGTGATATCTTCTTTTTGTGGAACGTTTTCGGCCATGCAAGAGCGGACCATGACCTCCATAATTCGCTCTCTGGACAGAATGATTCGACCATGCATATGAGTTCTTGTGGGAGTTTAGAGACTTGGTGCAAAAATGTAGAAAACTCCTTCAGCGCTGGATCGCAGGCTTGCATTGCGTCGCTCAGGGCTGAGGTGAAAGTCACTTGCGGCTCTCGTGCAGCATAACAATTATCTCCCGCTTGTGGCCAGGCCCTGAGGAACAAAGAAGTGTCGGAAATAATTTTCAAAATCTTCATCGGTTCAACTTGATAGACGTGTTTCGATATGGTATTTAGGCAGGTTACGTGGCAGACAGTGGCTTCCGGCAAGTTTTGACAACGGGAACATCGCAAAAGACGGCAGAATTGCCTTGGAGTAGGCGGCTTTGAATTGATAGGATACATAATGCAAGAAGGAAACAGAATGGCCCCTGATAAAGGTGGTCTAGGTAGGCAGGGTACAACGAAAGAATTCGTATATCCGCAATAAGATCTCGCTCCTCTCAATACTTGATTCGGGTTAGTGTGGTTGGTTGGTAGGGACAGAGGGCATCAATTTGTTGGACATACAAGCAATTACTTGATCTTCCTCCTCGATTATATAGCGACGACAAATAGTACAGTTGAGGTCGGGCGGTAAATGTAGATGCTCATTTCCTATCCCATCCGTATTTTGTAGCATAATTGCTGCCATGTTGATTGGTTATGTGGCAGAAAAGTATGGAGAATTTGATAAAAGTATTGTAGGTGGAAATGCATTAAGAAGACAAGATGGATGTAAGGTTAATGAGCAACACAGCCTCCCAGCCTCTCAGCCTCGCGAGATTATTTTCAGCCCTAAATGCGGAGCACTGACTTTAACATCCATTTTATAATCAGCCAATAACATTTGACTATATAAGGATAATAATTAGTGGAACGAATTGCAATTTACGAAAATGTTAGTAATTGAATCAGGGGTCTCAGTTATCTCATTCTCTGTGGAAGAAAATTGCTTGAAATTACAAATGTAGAGATTATACTAAACTATATAAAAATAGTTGTCATGTGTTATGGGTGGGAGAAGGACATCAAATACAAGAATGATATTGATATTGATGGCCCACTTCAGCGGACATTAGAAGGAGATTCAAGAATGAGACAGACGCAACAAGTAGTAAAAGTGCGAAGCTCTACGATGAAGCCAAGCATATCCTCCCAGTAATATAGACCTTCATGTCTACTGTGCCATTAAACTGGTAAGATTCCACAATGAGAATCCCCCCAACCAGGTAAAATAAGTTAAGATGAAGCAATGAAATCCTCCTGCGGATTGTACAATGATCAGGCTGATCATTGAGCCTAAGATCCGTCCCTCAGCCATATACCCGTCGTGAAAAAAAGAAGAAAATAATGAGCGTAGGTTTAAACCTTTGATCAAACATGGTATCCTATCAAGGAAAAGTAGCTTCCAAATTCAACATTGTTTAAATACTTCGTCATATGGGTGGCTTGATAGCTCCCAGTTCTCAAAGATAAAATTGCCGTCCAGAAACCTTCTCAGTGTAGATTGAGCATTGTCTTTCATCTCCCGGTATATGGCCGGCTTTCCAATCACTCCCCTCCGTCTTGATATCTCTGCCAGTATCCGGATGCCGGAATTTGTAATAAACGTGACTCTTCTTCTTGTCTACATGACACCAGGTGTCAACAAAGACTGGAGGAAGAGCTCGGCCGGCTGACGAGGCTGTTTCTTGGCTTGATACAGTAGATTCTCTATTGATTTGTAACTCTCCCGTTGGATCAGAGGCAGAATCAAGACCAGATGGAACAGAACCAGATGCAGCAGAAACCGAATCATCCCATTTTCGAAGAAGCCGAAATGCCTTCTTCAAGCCGGCTGCAGTGTCGCTACTAGCTTCAATGTAAAGATTTGGATGACATGCTTCTCCCTGTGGAAAGTATGCTACCAGAGCTGTCTCGCCTGCTCTGAGTGACCATAAACGAGCTTTTGTTCCCCATGTCGTCATGGCATAGATAATCTTTCTTTCCGGAAAATGGTGAAGAAATGCCCAAAAAGCTGAGAATGCTTGAACTTCGCATAGATGAACCTCTTCTGGAGTGGCAAAATCAAGTTTCGCTTCATAAAATAGGATCGTCTCCCATTTCTTCGTGGTAGAATTATAGCGCTCAACGATGGAATCGCATCGCCGAAGGTCCCCCTTCTGTGGTGTATAAGGCTGTTGTGAGGGAATATGCCATTCGGCACCTGGAAAGAATACTTGATTCAACAAATATTCCCAAAACCGAGTTGATGAATGCTCTAAACTTCCTTGGGCATCCTCTCAAAGACGCTGGATAGCGGAGGTTTTGATCAAGCTCATTGTTGAATGTCAGTCTATGTGACGGGGAGGGGACTGATATTCTGTATGATGGATTGTCTCTGCTATTCTTCGTCAAAGGATGCCAACGGCATCTTATATATTGAGGAGAAAGTCATCTGCTGCATCAAAACAGCCTGATGAGAAGAGTGAGGTGTATTGGTTAGAGACATCTTCAGTCAATGGTAAGGCCTTCTGTCAATGGTAAGGCAGATCCAGAGGGTCTCCTATACCTGGCAGTGTTTGACTGGTCCATTATACGTGCAGCAATTGATGCCCATGTTGTGACCACCCCCACTTTACAAAAGACATACATTCTGGAAGACCAACAATGGGTTCATCCACCAACCCATGAATGCCATTTAATATTCCATAGCTGGAAGATCTTGGGAGTTGCCCAGACCTTGAATAAGCGTCATGCAATGCAGCTTACAATCGATATTGGAGATCAAGCAAAGCCAGCAGTGCAGCACCCCTCCAAACCCCTGTGTACTACCAAGAATCCTCAGCCCTCATATAACCTTACAGATCAAATTAGGGAAGAATGGTATTTCGTGGATCAACTGATATATCCAATTGTAGACACTAATCTACTCATAATATATAAAACTTAGTAGTGATATTATAATAACAAGAAATCATGTTTAGAACAAGATATTGAAAAGGAATTCATTGAGATAAATTGAACATTCGTGAATTGAAAATCTTATTCGGCGACAGCCTTTACCTAAGCATATAATCACGTGATATGGATAACCGGGAACATTAGTTCGGGGATCTGCAAGTACAACTTCTAAACACCACTGCGGTCCATTTAGCAGAAGGTTTTGCTTTGCAAGCGATGAATATGTTGTGCGCCTCGACAGGCAGAGTAACTTCTTTCACTTCGAGGATTGTTGTATGATAGAAATTCTTCTCTGTCTTGCCTCTTGAGCTTTGTTTTGTGCGATAAAATAGCTTTCGAGCAGCTCTCTTTGATTTAGAGGTTGAAGAATCAAATACTCTACTCAAAAGGGTTATAACCTTAAAGAATGAGCAAGCTATTGCAATCGAGAACAGGAGAGATACTCACCGCCGGATGTTCTATTAATTTTTCGATCGTAAGTTTCTCGTCACACAGACTAAGTTGAGACACGATTTCACCAACAGTAAGTAAGCATGGCTAAATTGCAAAAGATTGTTATAACTACAACACCGACTCGGACCCCTGTGACACTAATCCCAGAACGCCGGTTACGAAAAAGTAGCGTTTTTGGATTAGCGCCTGCGCCCACGCCTTTGGATAGTAAGCAGGAGACTGTATAACGCAAGTGCTACTGCATTCTCTATACCAAATTTGCTCTCGTGTATTGGCGTGCATAATGCATCGGCGTACTTTTTGAATTATCAGCGACTTCTTTTTTATTGCGTCTTCTCGTTCATGTGGCTGCTGCCAGAAGGAGGTCACATAGGGGTGGAAAAACAAGGCTCCCTCTGATTCACTCACCGCTGCATTGCTCAGTTTGCCCGATTTTGTCTTTTTCATTGTCACATTGTTTCTTGTACTTGTCAGAATGCCTGTCTAATACCGCCTACATCTTCTCTACAGACGCAGATACCAAAACTATTCGTTGTCCAATGGCAAGACGTCCTCGATCTTTCATCCACCATGTCAAGCAAGATAATCTGTCCATTCGCTTCAGCTCGAATTTCTCGAAACCGCTAAGTAATCGATTTCTGTTCGTTGGTCTCATTTTGCACTCAGTACCTTGTGTTTTCTCTCGTTTACCCGTTCGGCTTCATTAGTACAGTTTTCCAGTAGATACTATGGCAAATGGGCTTAGATCAATGTGCTCTCAGGTACTCGAGTGAATGCCGATCATTCAAAGTAAAGCTGTGTCTTTTAATCGTCCATCCTGGCATAATCCTCGAGTTGGGCACAAACAGCGTGACAGCGTGACATTGTGACAACCTGACACCCTTTCACTCTATCAACCGACGACAAGACGACTCAGTCAGCAATGAAAAATGTGTAGTTGGAAAGTTAGATACAATAATATATTTTCGATAAAACTGAGATAGATTGATTAGGCATAGACCGAGACTGTCCACATAGATTCTTTAGCCCTTATAAACGTACCTATAATTATTACTATTATATATTAAAGCTTTGCAATGTAATATAATTCCTTATAAAGGAATCATAAATGTATCCATTCAGCACTACTTTAAACAAACACAGATAGAAATGTATAATTTGTAATACATGTCAATCTCCTAAAATTGTTCCTAAAGATAGATGAGGAATCCAAAAGATCTAGAGAAAAAAAGGGAATAGTATAGAAGATGTAAAGAAAGACTCGGAGATAGAATAGTCTGAGAGATCAAAAGCAAGAGAGGAGATACTTATTGATATCGAAAAACTAATTTAAAAACTCAATATATATTTTGAAAAGGATATTTACAAAGAACTTTGATATTCTAATATTATAAGGAAAAAACTCATACAAGGTGTCGGGATCATCCATCTAATCACGGTCATCGATCCCCACATATGATCAACCCACACAACCCCACTCTAATATTATGATTCACGTCTAAATTCCACCCCCTAGTTCTAATTCCCCAACCACTCCTTCTTCACCTCCTCCAATCCCTCTTTCAACCACTTCCCCTCCACACTCTCCTCCTCCACCTCCCCATCAAACCCATGCTCCATGCCCTCCCTCCAAACCCCCTTTACCCTGTTCTCCCCAAACTTCCTCCCCCAGATCTCCATCCATTCCCTCGTATCTTCCCACGGAACAGCCGTATCCTTCATTCCATGAAATGTAAAAAGATATGCTCCTTTCCCTTCTCTCTCTCCTCCCTCATTCACCCCACTCCGTCCCACAATAACATCCTCCAACCACAATCCCTCATCCCCCGCTCTCTCAAAAATTTCCGTCCACCTCCCCCTCTGCACCATCGTAACCGCAATCTCTAATCTCGCCGGCGGATCTACACTTATCACCATCTTCCTCTCTAATCCCTGACCCATCCCCTCAATATGCGTATCCAAAATACCCCCATCGAACTGCGGAACCCCAAATGGACTTTTCGTCTCACCAGCCTCCGAGTACCATTTCCCCCGCAACATCGTCATGGGATACGCCGCTATAACAGCTTTTGGACCCCTAAACTCCATCCCATCCACATCCCTCACCACATCCGTAGAAAAGTCCAGCAAAGAAGATCTAATAGCCAAATACCCCCCCGCACTCTCCCCATAAACCGCCACCTTTTCCCAATTAACCCCAATCTTCCCATTCCCACTAATCCCCGCAAGATACCCCGGAAACCCCACCCCAAACCACTTCCAAAAATCCTTCAAATCCTCCAGAATCTCCTGCCCAGTAGCTTCAGGCAGAAGCCGGTAATCCGGCATGATTAAAATTGCGGAATTCTGCGTCACGAGATTTATGGCCCAATTGGGGAGCCATTCGGTATAGAGGGCTGTTCCTGTGACCTATTTTTGTAAATTGTTAGGACGTTTCTTTGGAATTTAAGATGGGGCTTGAGAGGGTAAGTGGATTGGAATGGAATGGAAAATCATATCATACCAGGAATCCACCGTGGAAACGAATGAGAATGGGGTATTTCCCGGTTTGAGAAGCAGAGGATATGGATTTGGGGATTAGGATATGTGCTGGGATAGGAATACCCTGGATGGTTTTGTAGGGGGTGGTGTGGAGGGTGAAGGGGGCGAGTTTGGGGTCTGTCATTTTGGGGGTTTGAGGGATTGGTTGGTTATGCGTGGGATTTAGTGATGTTTTGGTGTGAATGAAGCTGGGTGAGATGTTGTTGGATCGGGTATATCTCGGTACTGTAAATAAGTGGGTTGGATGATTCCGGATGTTCTGTGAGGAGTGAGATTTGAAGAGTCAAATGTTTCTTTGTGGTTGTGAGAAATCGAATGATCAGATAATTGAACTGTTGATTGTAAAATTTGAGAAATGGAAAGAAATGAGGCAGATATATATAGTCTTAGCTTTTTTGATATCTTACCAATCACGGATTCTGTGGGTTTTGATATCGGCTCCCTTAACATATGGCAAGGGCTTACTGTATCCCCGCGGGTTTAACAAAAAGATAAAAGCGAAGGGCGAGAAATTTGAAAGTTGATAAATCCATATGAACTCATGAATTTGTCATATTAGATTGTGCATGCTTTTCTTGCTTGTGTTCGAATATTTGATGGAGACATTCCTCCAGGACTCCTCACATAGCAATTGATGCCTACTGGCAGTACAAATTTAATCACTCAAATATCGCGATTCCCAGATACCCATAACTTTACGCACACCCATAGCCATATTCACACTGTAGCTAGCTTAAAATTGATCAACGACAAGGCCATGTCCTTCTTCCCTCTCGGTCAACCACTTCTGTCTGTTTGACATCCAACAACGTCATCCTCTGGACTGATTTGATACTTTCAATTGCATCACAACCAGGAGCCGTCTTCTGAATGGTTTCCAAACAGGTCATCAAAAGGTCTTCCCCCTCCCACTCAAACTTCTTATCAACAGGTATGAATTCCAAAGGTGAAACTGCCTTGCGGCGGATGGTGCTTCTTCCCCGAATGAGCATGATACTTTCGACTGCTGGAAAACACAAGGCTATCTTGTAAAATGGTTTAACGGAAAGAGGACCTTCGAAGGCTAACCGCTTCACTCTGAGAAAGTCGAATGAAAGAGGAGCATGTCGGCAACTCATTCTGTGACCGTTACAGCGTGCACATTGCGAATATACACCGTCACGCTCCCAATCAAAGTAAATCATCGCTCTGCGGGGTTCTTGAGTGAGTACATCTTCCATGGTCTTTTTGAGGTTCACTCGATCCCAGAAACCCATCTCAGGATTTCTGGCAAATGATAAATCATACCATCTTAAAGCTATTTTCCTGGATTCTCGACAAGTCTGAAGCATACTGGGAATTGGCGCATTTGAGAAAAGAGTATCTCCCCATCGGGACTCTCGAATCTTGATGTATCTGGCTTCAGGTCGAGCGTGATACCAGATGCGACGACGAACCTTGCATGGAAGCTCAGAGAAACGTAAGAAGTCGTTTGGTATGACTGCATTTGTTGTATAGTCTTCTTCAAGGTCCAAAATGCTTGACCCTACACTGGATATCAGTGATTGCCGGTGGAGCAATTGGTCATTGGGTCAAAGGCCTTACAAGTTTCTTCGTAAGTTGTCTGAGTATCTTGAGATTTTCCAGTATCTTGTGTTGCAAATACTGCCGAAGCCTCCCATTCTTTTCTCCTAAAATGCGATGATCAGAAAGCGTAATCAAGTCCCGAAAAAGGACTTACCTTTTACACATGATGTTCAGATACCGTTCGAGCATCTCTATCTTCACCGGATCCGGTGTAGGAATCAACCTAACCTCCATCTTGATTCGCCTTACTCTAATAAAAGAAAGATGCACTGAGAAAAAATATTGTACAGAAGAATAAAGGTGAGGAAGTTCTCTTGAAGAGAATCAAAGACGAGGGTATGCTTGCAGACTAACCCATTTAGGTAAAACCCGATCCAAGTATCAACGACAATACGTATTCTAGAAGGAACACCTGAGTTCATACCACAAATTGTTCCCAAAGATTCAATAGAGAGTACCTAGTACCTAGTAGTTAGTAAGCAAGCCTTCTGTTATACATACCTAGTAGGTAATAGATAGTTTGTTTTCTCATAGCCCTCGAGTTCTTGTATGTGGAAGCAATTGAAGATTACACTGGCAGCCGCCTCATTATCTTCGCCTTGACAAACAACTCCGTCTGGATCTCCATTAAGTCCTTAAAAATCGCATTGTGCCTTGATCCCATCTTATTCAATATCACCTTGTCTACTGAGTTCCCGTTCTTCAGCCCTACCTTATAAGAATACAGCTAAGCATTGATCTCTGTCACTCACTTTTTCGATTGATACTGTTTTTCAATACTGCCTAGGAGATTGATAAATCGATGATCTGATCCATATGAAGAGTACAGAATAAGGTTTGAGAAAGAAATGATTACCCATACCCTCGAAAAAGCAATCAGCGCAAACTTCTGGTACTTATCTAAACATCTTCTCTAATTTATCGAACTCCTTTCTCAGTCCAGTGATATCGAATATATGAGGCATCAGCTCTACTATTACACTCCTCTATTATTACACTCATCCTGACTCGCCCTGCCTCGGCCTTAATCTCCTGGTACTCCCCATCAGTCTGCGGATACAATAAATCACACTGACCAGTATAAATCTATTATAAGCCTCCAGTCCTTAAATACGATGTAATTTCCTCCCTGAATGCTTACCTTGACTTCCCCTGCCTTATCCATCAAAGCTTCCCACATTGCAAATCCACTTGCTCTAAGACTTTTTTGTTCCACCTTCAACTCCCAAATCTTAGTCTATATCTTTGCCATCTTACCCAGAAAGATGTTATTCTCTGTGATTATTCTTGTGTCGACAGATATAAAGATAGGGGTTTTTTTTGGTAATATAATGATAGCCGCCAGACTGGGGAAGTACAACTTGAACTTTCTATCTGTCAAAAATTGCATCCCGTCAATTGTTGATGACACCAGATATCATTGATTCTGTTGATATCAGTTTCCACAGTGATTATAGTTGTATTGTGTATATCCCATCCACCCAAACATCAAGCTCTGAAGGAAATCCAATAATTTGTTATAAATTCAGTCTCTTTCGTCAAGAATTCCATACTGGATATTCCGCATAAGCTGATAGCCCTCAGGCCGATTAAGCCAGATGAAAAAGACAAGTTGAAAATATGAGGAAACTCCAATTGATAACTAAAACTATCCAAGAAATAGGGTATCATTAATTTTCTACTAGGCCCTCGGAATGATACTCAAATTCCGAAGGTAAAGGTGCATCCCCTTTGAGATCTTCATCCACATTCCTGCTCACGAGCGGTTTCTGCTTCTCCACCACAACACTTGTGTTAGAAGGCTCAGCTATCGGCAATTTGCCAAGAACTCCGGTCATCCAAGCCGCCCACTCCCATGGTCTATCGCTGTCCCCCGGTAGAGAATTGAAATACTCCCAACCCATCACACCACCAAATGTTGGGTATCTCAACTTCAGATTGATGAGGACTTCTTGCAATATCTCAAAAGGAACCCAGCCACTACCATTTCCAGGATTCGTGACCATACCCACCACGACTTTATGTGCAGGCCATCCCCTCATCATCATCATATCATATCCGGCCGTCTTACTCATATCGCCCCATCCGCAATAAAATTGCGTGTTATACCAATCGATACTACTTCCCCTCATCACCTCCAGCGCCTCATAATTAAACCCACTCAAATTGTGCTCCGGGCGTTCAGATATCAAAGCTGCAGCAACAGGCGCAAGCGTAATGATAAACGCAGACCCAAAATCTACCTTCAGTCGATCAATCAATCGTATGATTCCAGCGAGTGACATCTCTTCCTCGACATCTAGATCTAAACCATCGAGACCGCGTTCGCGAATAAGGTTCCGCAGAGGAATGTAGTAGAGTTCGAATGTGGCTTCGTCTAGGTCAAGTCGAGTGAATGAACCTTTTGCTGCCCCACCAAGCATTCCCATCACTTTTATTCCGGAGGCTTGAAGAATTCGGAGCTCGGCCCACATTGTCATGTATCGTTCATGGTGAGGTACATGGTCGTTCTGCCATTTATTAGTAGTTATGCTTTTGGGGAGTTTCGCAGACGTACCAGAGTTATATTTCCTGGGGGATCATTGAGATGGATTGCCGCGACATTCACATGCGTTACGGCAATATTTGGCTGAGTGATGACGGGTAATATGGAACATGATCTGCCATCAGGATGGTGTTGCGTCTGATAATATATGACGATTCTTGGAGTGGTAGGTATTGGAATGGGAGGCATTGGAGGAGAAGTCGTGGTTGTTTGGTTTGTTTGAATGAGGTTGCTGACGGCTCAGGGGTCCTAGCACTAGTGTGGGGACTAGCCTGAAGCTCTCCACAATTGTAACCAACCAACCCCAACCCCGCTCGGACTACGAATACGATATCTCGTACTCTCTCATGTCTGTCTGGTACAACGAATTATATCGAATATATAGTAATAAACGGCTTCCTGTGTGTGTAAGAAGAACATTCATTCTCGAGCTCACAATGAGAAGATACCTAGGTACACCTCAGATGCACATGCACATCTTGAGTGCAACGCCTGAAGCTACTACTGGCACCGTCAGAAATAAACTCGTCGCGCCTCGAAGTCTTCATCCGGCTTACTTATCTTCATCTGTATAAACCTACAGACAAGGCTGTGGGCCCCATATCGATAATGCGACCAACAAACAGTTACTCCCCCACCCTTCTATTTAGCACCCGAAGAATTCTCTTCGGTACATTTGGTTTGAAGACTTACTCGATCATTTAGTCTCAGTTTTGTCCTTTGGTAGTAGGATCATCGATTCCACACTGAGCAATACGGCTATTGTATCTACGAGTACATTCTGTTGCATTTTTTCCCCCCAGTGATCAAGGGTTCTTAACTTTCCTTCTGGAAAGTTTGATCTGCTCATTGCGAGAATGACCGACCCTCTTTCTGCAGCCAGCGGTGCAATCGGAATCATCTCCTTCGGCCTTCAGATAGCTCAAACTTTGGTCAAGTACTGCTCAGAATGCAAAGATTTCAATAAAGATATTACTTTGTTCAAGTCCAAAGCTGAAAGTCTCAGCCTTATTCTTCAACAACTTGACAACAAGCTGCGGCCATATGAATCGAAAAACGGATCTCTTCCTACGTCTGTCGTTAATGTGATTCGAAATTGCGAATCGAGTTTGCAAACTCTAGACGAGGAACTAGAGAAACATGGCAAGAACACTGTCTTCAAACGACTCGCATATCCTTTTGTCAAGGGTTCTTTGACAACTAAAAATACAATGTTGGATAGCTTACAGAACAATCTCACCGTTGCCCTTCAATTATTCAACGTGTTGGTCATTCGAAATCACTTCAACAACAAAACATAATAAGTTAATGTCTTGAATAGGGATACCAATCAGCGAGTCGTTGAGTTGTCGCAAACGTTCTTGAATCACTATTCCACAATTATGCAGACATTCGATAGTCAGACTAAAATCGTTGCAGTGAATAACAACGAGATGGTATTTGATTGATTCTCTCGCCTTCCGATGTATTTAACTTGTTGCAGCATTTGAAGCTTGATCAAATAATTCAACAGAAAACGTTAGAGCCAGAAGGCTCCATGGAGCTTAAGCCATTACGAGACGATCCCTTCATTGCCAATTCTAGAAGAGGATTTCGAAATAAACTTGCTCATCCCTTCATAGCATTGGAAGATTGTGTATGTCTACGGCCGATTTACAAATCCGGATACAATATTGAGTTGCTATCGAGATGCACAATTTTTTCTCTCTTCTGGCAACAAAAGTTCGCTCATTGTCAGGAGTGTCCTTGGTACCAGTCAGGAAAATGGACAGATGTGATAGGAGCTCAGTATCTACCCTGTACTGGGTTATTGAATTACTGTATAAAATTCGCCCTCTCAATAGAAAGAGGTGCAGGACGCTTTTCAATCAGTCCCCGTCTATCAGTCAATTCTATAGTTCCTCACGATTCTCCACAATTTCGTTTATTTTCGCAATTTCCCCACTCCCAGAACCCGGTTTGACGACGGGATCCTATTCCATTGATGAGCTGGAATCTGAGGCAGCTCTGCATAATGTTTCGAGAAAACAAGGCCGGCGCCAATGATGTCACTGTTGATGGACGGACACTATTTTCTGTAAGTCCCCAACTGATTATATTGACTACCAAGTTGACTCGTAAGGCCGTAACAGATTATCTGTATCAAACGATATTGAAGTACATTCGCCATTACTACCGGGAGATCGAGGATGATCTTGAAGGACTCAGTGAACCAAAGATTTTTGTCGAGCTTCGAAAGGTTTTGCAGCTTTTAGCTGGTCTGTATCGGAATGTCATAAGCTTATTCAAATCTGCCGGGTGTACCTTTGAAACTTGTCGACATCATGAAGGGCGGTAAGTTCAGATCTGTTATGCCAATACAGCACAGTAAGATCCGGTCCTTGAGGGTGCGGTGCAAAACAGAGACTATTTTCCTAATCTCCGAGCATTTCTTTGATATTTACCAGTGCTGATCACATAAATCTTCTTCACTTCAAAACAAATTGAAATATATCATGCTAATGATGGACGTCTAAAGTAACATATTTTCGATTATTTTTGACGGGCAATTTCCAGCAGGAATCGACATCAATGAGTTCCATGATATTGCGGAGAGTCTTTGTGATCTTGGCGTTCAGATTGACTTCGACATGCTTGGCTCTGCTAAGTCTGAGGATTTCTCGCAACGCAACATTGAGCATTTCATATCTAAGACTCAACGAATAGACAGTACGTTTATATCAATATCATGAGCTATATCAATAACTAAGTACCTTTGGAAGCACTCGGCGTTCCGGAAATTTTCGTCACTATCCTGATGAGATCAGAAGATGAATTGGAAAGGATTTTAGGCCTCAACCCCAATGCGGTAAATACCGTCCTTCCTAGGGGGGGATGTACCCCGTTGCACGTTTCTCATGCGTGGCCCCGGGGTGTTCAACTACTGCTGGAAGCTGGGGCGGATGCTAACAAGCTAAACTACAACTGTTATCCGCCAATAGCCTACACAATTCGAGCAAAATGTATAGATTCAATACGGATCCTTCTCGCACATGATAGCGCTCTTGGGCACAAATCGTTTCCCATTTTCCCCTTCCCTAAGCTATATAAGGAATTGGATATCCTGAAAATCGTATGCTGGGATCTCGCAAACAGAAGGCAGCGCCTTTATGAACTTGCAATGTCCATGCCTCAAGAAATACGTACGGATATTTCTATCTACCTCAAAGATGATCGAATTCTTGATGCCTATGCTTGGAATGTAACCCAATTTCTCCTCGACTTTGGGATTTCGGTCGAGCCTGCGCTTTTGCCCAGCCCGTGGAGATCAAATAAAACTGTTTACCACACATTATACATGTCTGTAGAAGCAGCAGAGTATCTATACAGAGCTGGATTCCTCGATATTGATGTATGTGACGAGAAGGGATGGACGCCATCTATGTGGCTTTGTCACCGCGCTTCGAGAAGCATCAGCCAAGATGATATAGCTCTGATATCGTGGTACATTTCTAAAGGTGTAGAATCCACCAAACGCCACGGTCACTTTGATCAAACTATGTCGCATCATATTGCGAGGAAGCTCGGTTACTGTATAGCAGTTTCTGATCCCTCGTGGTTTCTTCCGGACTCGTACATTTCTACACTAAAAAGCTTCTTGCTTGAGAAAGTTGACGACAATTGTACATGTGCCTGTTCACAAAACGGATGCCTCCCAATCACATGTTCTTTAAAAACGCCAGAATCTCGTAACTCAATAGATTTGGGTAGGCGCACATTTGAAAGGAGACCAGTGTTCATAATAGCTTGGGAGATAAGCTGGTACTTGGAAGATGAGGTAAAATATAGTCCATGGATATCGGAGAGTTTCTTCCGCGTCTTAACCTTTGAATGGCTTGATCTCACTCACACATGTAACTGCAAAGACTTTGAAGTGTATCACTCGGATGAACTCCTCAGTATCGACGAAATAACAGAAATCCAAGAAGAAGCCACTACAATCGAACAACTTGAAGAACTGGTTGCAGAATTCCAGGAAAGTTTCCAGACTTTCGGCGGCTCTTTCAATGCTTTCCTTAAAACGCAATGGTTGCCGAGAATCTGCGAATTTTTCGATCAAAACGACGAGGAATTGGATGAGGAAAGCATGCAGAAGATCAGAGATATTGGTGTTATTATGGATGATGAAATAGCTTAACATCTATTATAGCATTTTTCTTATATGGAAAAAGTAAAAATTGCTTCACTAAAAGCTATCACTACCTGCGTTTAAGCCCAAGATAGATATTGAGACAGGAGACTTGTGCTGATCCTTCCGATGAATGCCAAGTCAGACATCCATAGGTTTTCCTAGTTCCATGGTAGTATTGTTTTCTTATTGAGGCGATACCTCTATGTCTATTTCATAATCCTGTATTAATAACCTACTCCTTAGCACCAAACACCAAGCAGTTCAGTACGCTCTTGAAACTCCTCCCCCATGTTCATATATTTTATGAACACCCACTTCTTTGGTATTGACGTTCCATGTCATGCGATCATAAAGTGGTGAATCCTACCCTTCGAATGGCTCCACAAACGACATACCAGTATAGCCCAGCATCTTTCCTTTCCTTGAATCTGGGATCTAAGAACCTATCCATGATCGTCAGATCTCTCCTTACAGCCCAAGCATCCTTCTACATCCATCCCGAACCTTTTGCTCATATTCCGATCTGTGCTCTCTCCATTGCTTGGCAGCCTCGACATTCGCTGGACTCTCATCATTTGGTTCCGCCAACATACTCATTACGCTTAATAAGATCTTCTCAACACTCTGTATTGGTGACCAGCGCTCGGAGGCATGTTCGTAGTGATTTGGGTCATCTCCGGGAGGATGGAGAATAGATATACAGACGAGACCGCTCGGGTAGACTACATCAAAGATCAGATTAACATTATATTCTTCAAAGTGTAATATATTTCAAACAAAGTACGTCGCGGCACAAAGGGAAACAAGGAGAACAAACCATTAGGATGCCAAACTTCCCCAAGAAACCTCATACTAGGCGGTGCAAGCGGATAATCCTTTGGGAACTTTAACTCGGCGGCAAAGACTCCTCCTTCAAATGGTGTACCCTCTGGTCCTTGAATTAAGGCTTCCCAGCACAATAAATCATCTTCCGACACCGGACCTGCGGTAATGCCTTCTGGTGCATTATTAGTCAGGGCACGATATTCTTGAAGGAGGCGACGCTGAGCAGTAATCGATGCCATTTTGTTTATGTTATTATATTGAATTGTGGGATGAGAGGTATATGGTTGAAGTTGTGAATGAATGGAACCGCGGGGATCTACTGTGAAGTTTCTAGATGAGGTGTGGTTGGAAATAACACGCTAAAACTGCCCTGGAACTTTTAGCGTATCACCGCCATGATTTACCCCGCCATGACCGGAGATCACCGTTGAAACCAAAGTACCTCTCGTGGCCTGCGCAATTCTTCATCACTCCCTTCATACCTCAGAGAATTCAATACATTCACATTTTAATTAAAGCTTGATCAAGAACTCTTTCATATTGAACTTTAGTCATACGATTAACATCGATTCCGAATCATGGCCACCGCAGCATCAACCCTTAAAATCGGATATGTTCCCGAGCATTTCTCTACCCCTCTTCACTTCGCGCAAAAACATTTCGGTCTCGATGCTGAACTGATCCCATTCCCATCTGGTACCGGACACATGATTACATCCATACGTTCGGGTGAAATCGATGTAGGCATTGGTCTCACTGAAGGGTGGGTAGCCGGGTTGGGCAAATCCGATGTAGAAGGTGATGGAGGATATAAAATCGTTGGAACTTATGTCGAAACACCATTGTGTATGTTCCACCAGTCGTTTTAACACATGTATTGCAAACGTGATACTTGGCAGATTGATTGAACAAAAATAGGTTGGGCAATCTCCACTGGCGCAAACAGACCTCTGAATAGCATCGCACATCTTAAGAACGGCAAAATTGGCGTCTCGAGAATAGGAAGCGGGAGCTACGTTATGGGATCCGTTCTCGCAGATGAGCAAGGCTGGCTCAACGAAAGTCAATCATCTGAGGGACCGTTCGAAGTCGTTCCTTTACAGACATTCGAGAATTTGCGCAACGGTGTGAATGATAGCACGGTAGATTTCTTTATGTGGGAACATTTTACTTCTAAAAAATATTACGACAATGGAGAGATCAAGAGGATCGGAGAGATTTATACACCATGGAGTAGTTGGAAGATTGTTGCTAGCACGAACGTGCTGCGGAACTCGGATGATAAGAGATTGGATGATATGTTTGAGAAAATCGACAAGGGAGTTAGGTATTTTGAGAAGAATCAGGCTGAAGCTGTCAAATACATCAGTACTGCGTTGGATTATAGCGAGGAGGATGCAAAGGAATGGTTGAAGACAGTCAAGTTCGCGAGTAGCACAAAGGGAGTGGATGTAGCGGTTATTCAGAAAACTGTGACTACACTGCAGAAGGCTAAAGTGCTAGGAGATGATGGTATGTCACCAGAACAAATGATTGCTAAATAAACTAGTGAACAATGTTCCTTTTAGTTTTAGTTTAGTATGAATGAACTGATACTGTTCAATCCTGTTCATTACGATCTGATATACAGTAGTCAATAGCTACTTAGCCAACAGTGGAGTCAATATCACAGCCACTGTGGTTAGGAAGTGCTAAGTAGCACGAATTGACATCATATAATAGCTAAAGGGGAGTGGGGCGAGAGAACCTATCTACCCCGTGTTTTTGCTTGACCGATCCTTCATAACTACTTGAATCGTCAGTAGCCTGGAAACTGGCAAGAAAGCCAGTTTCCAAAGACGAGCCTTTCAATTTAGCACTGGGCCGTCTCGGGATGATAATCTGCGTCGACATTAGATTAGTGCAGTGGTTTCAATAATACCTGACTAAGCACAATCGACAGATGACATGATAAACTAAATTGTACAATAAGTATTAATTTGATAATAGATGACGGATAATAAAATCAGCAACCTCCAAATTCCTTGTCTATCTAATCTAATGTGCGGGTTTTTTATGAGGAGGAGTTTGATGATACGGAATGGCGAGTTTCTAGATGTGATTGTGGGGTTTTTGTACCTGGAGATGGAGATGGAGATGGAGATGAAGCTGGAGATGAAGCTGGAGATGAAGCTGGAGTGTTAGTAGAGTATTAATATTATGTTATGTTGTCTGGAGGATTATTTGATGTATGGTGATGTATGGTGATTTTCTTAGATTGCGGATTGACAGTTTCGGATGTGTGGAATGTTGGGTTTATGATGTCTTTAAGGTTAATATGGATAAAGTACTGTACCGGTATGTGAGAATTGGATTGGTGAGGTGTAAGTTACGCACGGTATGGATATCCGGGTGTCTCACTATAGTCTGGGAGATTCATTTGGGTGTTAGAGCTGAGGAGATTCTATGTGAAAGGGATGCACAGATGCTAAAATAAGAAAGGGGAACGTACGAGTAATGATATAGGCAAAGTCTATCGAAGTTAATGGTCAAGACTCATGATGGTGGAAGCTATCATATTATAGGCAACAGATACCAGGATTAAATATAACTGTAACAAGGGGGAGAACTTAGTACATAGTACATTGGAAAGACACCAACCAGCCCAGAGTCAGGAGAGAACCTCAATAGTTGGACGCGTTGAAAGAGTTTCTTCGAAGTCGACTAAATGTTCAGTCGTAACCTTATGGGTTGGAAAATACTCAAGTACATCCAAGAGGAATAGGTACCGATAATCAGTGGAATAGCCTGAATCTACTGTGAAAATAGATACTGATATAAAGTTCGAATTAGATACAGAATTTCAGTTAGATAAAAGGTCTAGAACTACTCGAGTATAAAGGGTGCAAAATCACTCTGGGCAATGGGCATTCATGAACAAACTGACAATACCGCACATATACTCTATTCGGTCCGCGATAGTGTGATAGCGCTATAGTGTAATAGATCATTATATATCGAGCGGTGTACGAGTACAGTATTGCGGCATGACGTGTCGTCCGAGTAGATGGACACTGAACAGGAATATTCTGTTAGGGCTGAGCGGCGTCGGAGTTTGGGTCATGGCGAGAGGGAGTGGGACTCAGCGGGGTTGTGGGGGCGGACGGGAAAGCGGAAGTCGGAGTTTTGTGAGGGTTGATTATGGGTTGTAATGAGCTACCGGTATTTCAATCTTGGATTTGAGAAGAATCGTCTATTTGCTGGTTTGTAAAGTCGTGGATGTATTTGGAACTTTGGATATGTCTTTTTATACTCTAGATATATACTGAGTACCGGTAGAGTAAGTTCTCATCTCAAGTTGGAAGGTCTAATTTATGACAAGTCATACTACTCAAGCAGTTGACCGGGAAAACGAGAAATCGATAAATGAACAAGAAAATAATTTTAGACCTGTGATGACCATGTGTAAAGGACAAGGAATTTGTCTTCTGGTTATTGGATATGTGACATCCGAAAATGATAATAGCCCTAAGCGTGATCAACGATAGTAAAGTACGGATGCATTTCAAGTGAGAGTCTTGATAAAGGATCAATATTAATAATTGGGGTACCGGTATGTCTCATAGAGATCTACTTTGAAAATATTAGCTAGGCGCTGCTGGAAGGTGCTTTCCTGTTGCATTAAATAATGCCTCCCGTTTTCGTCTTTGGTCTCTCTCGAACTATCTTAATTAGCCTATAAAGCTCGTGATCCTGATCTTCTTCTCCGTTGAGGTTCTCTTTGACAACAAATTCCTTTTGGCTATATTCACGCGCCAGTGACATTGAAATTGCTGCTACTGCTCGAGGACTAGTGCGGGTATGTTGTTTGTTGTTCTATTGTTTTATCTGCAGAATCTTCGTACTTTCTGGAGACAAATCAATGCCATCGCATCGCATCGCAAAACTACGATACAAAACTAACATCGAATAGCAAAGACGTGTAAAATAACATGTAGAACTAATGAAAGGACGACGCATTTGAATCTGTGACTCCAGAGCTGAGGGCCAAACATGGCCAAAAGCGAAGTGGACTCAAAACCACAACAAGGCAAGTAAGATATATATTGGGCGTCTAAACTACCCTGAACCCTAAACAGCTTCAGCCCTCGGACATCGTATCAACACTCGTTCGACAGACACCTTTTATTTGAGCTGTATTCCGACAAATGTACCAGAAAATATGACGACCATGACTCACGTCCGTCTCAGCAAGATCAAGCATCTGGCCACCCATACTTATACACAAGTAGAGTACCGGTAGTCCAACTAACATGTTTTTGGAATGATTCGCTTCTCATTCCCTTATATGAACACCTGGCCTACAATATCTCCATTTCAGCTTGCTACTGCAGAGGATAAGACTTGAGTGTTTGATATTAGACCTGACAAATAACTACCCGTGCATTTGGGGCCATGGCTCCTCTATGCACATCTCTGTACTGTACCACGAGCGATAATATTTCGATGGAATTCTCGTCAATGCCGATGCAGAAGTTTACATATGGTGATGTTTGTATATGCGCCAACGACGTTTTTGTTTCCAGGATTAGTCCTGTTGGCAAATTGATACGTGATCTTGTCATTCAAGTAGCATAAGGAAGTTGTGAAGGCTAATCGGAAACTCAAAATAGGCGTTATAACATGGAAACAGAAATAGAGAGTTCAAGCGGGAGGGCTCTAGATCCTGGTTGAATGGATTTCTCTTGGCCAGTCCAATTCTAAATGCATCTCGCAATATTCATGATAGATATTCCGTACAAGGCCACTTGATAGCTATAGATAACGTCATGCATCAGGACCCACTCCACAGCGATCTCTAGACACGTTCTAGGGATCAATACAACAGGGATTTATGTGTTGCGCGGAAGTGCCGAGAACAATAAGAAGCGGAGCGATATTGCCCGTGATTACAGGGCTCGAGTGGGTATTTGCAAGATGGAAGATCCGTGTAGAGCTTGTAAGATTTGCCAGTGGTGCTTGTTAAGACTTTTAGTTGTCAGGGGGACATATGAGTAGTCGATAGCGTACCGAGATGGTATATCAGACATATGGAGTGCATGTTTGCAGGAGAATAGGAGGGAAAAAACACCCTAATCAGGATTGCTTAGGAAGGACAATCAAGGTTGCATATGATTTGAATCAATGCTATCGTTGTGCCACTACTCGACATCAATTTGAGGTCATGGTAACGGCCTGGTCTTGTGGTGATGCTGTAGTATCTTGCGTTGATTGTTCATATGTGTATATTCATTGGGAAATTTGATCTTCATATATAGCAGGTATCGAGTGCTAGACTTCCGATTGATTGAGCTTTTATATCGAAACAGCGCTAAATATTGTACAGGGTTGGACAACATGGGGTTTTGATGCAGGGGTTGTTGGGGCCACAACTCCGACAAATCCCCCTCTATTTATCCTCACAAACACGATGTCAACCTCCTATGCCCATCACCGCCGTCGGAATGACCATTTTAAGAATTCCGACAAAGCTTCATTCATGAAGACACCTTTCAAAAAGGCGGGATATTATCAGCTACTGTTAAGTAGCTAACCCTGACGGGACGAACACGGCATTCACTTACCCCCCCTCCCACTTTCATCTACGTGATGATTGGTCGACACACCTTATTGTGCATACATACCATACGAAGCGCTCCACTCATGTTGCATATAGGCCATATCATATGGCCTAGACAACTCTCCTTTGCTCTCCCAATCCCGAGAATGCACACGTCTGCACAAGATGTCCATCGTGCGACCCCACTACATCTAACACGTCTTCCTCTATATCTACTGGTACCTCCTTCAATCTCTCCCAATCCCAAGCTTATATTATCTACTCTACTATTACTCGATACAACTCACCTTCCTCGATTCTCCTCAAACGACGAATATATCAAACCGCAATAATGGCAGGCGAAGCGATGAACGATGGAAAGTTTAAACACAACCTCACCGAGGCTCCCACCTATACATCTAAGGTTTTACCCATGTTTTCACTCAAAGGACGAACGGCCATCGTATCCGGTGCTGGTGCTGGAATCGGACTTGCTGTTGCCCATGCTCTAGCTGAAGCTGGTGCTAATGTTGCTATTTGGTACAATAGCAACAAGAAGGCTATCGTTGAGGCTGAGAAGATTGAGAAGGAATATGGTGTTACTTGTTCGTACTCCTGCTTACTATAATCGCCCGATGTGATGTGGCACAAGGGCTAATTGTCATACGAACAAACAGGCAAAGCATACCAGGTCAATGTCACCTCCTACGAAGACGTCGAACAGGCTGTCAACACCGCCGTAATTGACCTCAATGGTCGTCTCGACATCTTTATCGCAAACTCTGGGATTCCATGGATTCAAGGTCCTGCTCTCGACGGAGAAATCGATCACTACAAGAAGGTTGTAACAACAGATCTGGATGGCACATTTTATTGTGCCCGTGCCGCGGGTCTACATTGGAGAAGGCAGAAGAAGGAGGGTACGACCATTGATGGAAAGAAATTGGAGGGATTCAGTTATGGAAGTTTTGTGGCGACCGCGAGTATGAGTGGGCACATTGTCAATATTCCACAGTTGCAGGCTGCATATAATGCTGCGAAAGCTGGTGTCATTCATTTATGTTCGTACATTTGCGCTTCTTCTCCTTGCGAAGTACTAATTCCATACAGGCAAATCACTCGCAGTAGAATGGGTCGGATTCGCACGCTCCAACACCGTCTCGCCAGGTTATATTGCAACGGAGATTTCGCAATTCTGCCCGCCTGAAACCAAGGCTGCTTGGAAGGATAAGATTCCGATGGGTAGAGAAGGAGAAGCTCATGAATTGAAGGGTGTGTTCCTTTTCCTCGCGAGTGATGCCTCAAGTTACTGCACTGGGACGGACATTATTTGTGATGGCGGTTACTGCTTACCATAAACCAATATAGATGATGAATGATTGATGAGGTGTTTGGGGTTTAGGGATATTGGGATAGACTAGACACCGTTAATTAGGCACACAATGAACATTACATTCTTAAAGATATACCAAAAAGCTCTCCATGGTGATTGATCAATCAAGATGTATTAATCACCTTTTGTGTATCTAAAAATCGAGGACCTTTCTTGATCTCAAAATGCCATATGTTCTTCACCACTCACCAAAACCCCACCCTAGCTAGGTTTGACAGCTGTCAGAGATGTGCAACAAGGCCACAAACCACAAACGCACCCACCAAAAATCCACTTTTGAATATTTGACAGCTGTCGCAGACATGCAACAAAAGACTTATGTACCGGTATACAGTTTTGCTGTGTTCTGTGTTCTAAGTTCTAATGGGGTGTGGATATATTCTGGAATGTTCATGATTGAAATGAAGGGGGCGTTGCCGAGGTAAGTAAAGTTTAAATAGTCTGAGGATGGGGATGGGGATGGATTGCGGGGGAAATTGGCTGGAGAATTGGCTGGGAAATGGGGATGGGGTGTTGTTACATACTGTGATATTGTAGCATATTACAGTACGGTATGCTGTGGTCGCTTGGAAACTGTTTTCTTCTTGTTAAAAAAAGGTTTCCTATCATGATAAGAAAATATATATATATTGAATTTTGCTTTGAGAAATGTTAACACAGCTTAGCATTTTGAACTTATCTTGATGCCAAGATTGATCTTTGGGGCCGCCTAGCTTGAAAGAAGATCACGGGATCTTTGTAAAGGGGCTAGGGGCTATTGAAGAGGAGGCTGGTGCTACTAGGTGTATGCGTTGGCCGCCTTGTATGATTATAAATTTCGATTGTGATTGGGTACTAATTGTTGATGTGGAATGACTGCGCGTTTGTGTGGATAAAGGGGGAGGATGTTGCTGACTAATCTAATCCAGTGTCTCGGCTCGGCAGACGACACATCAAGGTTTCGGTAGAAATGTCTCAAACCTCACATATTTCTGATGTCATAGAATATAGACGCGATGATGATGTTTGTTGTATTGAGAAATATCTATAAATCATTGCAATGAAGTTCAATTGTTCCTTCTTATACAATAGACAGGATGATGTTCGTAGTTCCAAACCGCGCTCAACCCAGGAATCCCCCGCAATATGGTTGTGTAAGGTTTCCTTCGGCTTTGTACTACCGCCATCCAGTGCGGGAGCAATCCGTATTCATACGTGCGCCAAGTCACACGGATTGTAGCTTCCAAGTTATTAGTTAGGATTATCCCTTTGTCAAAAAAGGTCTTGATCGGATATTGCGGTTATTGTCGGACAAAGAGGTATCACGAGTCAAACTTCATCACTCACTCGTATCTCAATCGGGAAGTTTCCGTACAGTATTGGTTGCAGTGGCTCCCTCCTTAACCTATTAAACTCAATTCATTCATTTCTATCTTCATATGTATTTCCTTATTCGTTATATTCACTGGGTATCATTGTATCATTTATATGGAGGACCAAAGTTGGTGAATGTATGGAATCAGGAATCAATACATTGAACGCACCTAAATCAATCTAGTGCAGCTCGTGACCTATGAAGAAAGTAGTGTCGTAGTTGAATTACGAGCAACTCTTAAGCAAAGGAATATCACAATTCTGTGAGTAATTTCTCCCGTCCTTCAACAAAATCTTCTCAACCATCCCCATCATGGATCCTCTATCCACGATGACTTTCATTCTCAATGGAACCGTTTGGGCTCTGATATTCGCAATAACTATCTGCGTGGTTTATGTGAGTTGTTCCTTGTATGATGCAAGTTATTTTTGCTGACCACATTGTAGCTTACCTTGCTCACCATTTATCGTCTGACAATTCATCCTCTCGCAAAATATCCTGGTCCATTACTTGCAAAGATCACGGATTGGTACTCAGTATATCATGCATGGAAAGGCGACAGACATCTGGAGTTTTATAGATGCCATGAGAAATATGGTAAGCAATTGCTTCTTCAATGAGAATCCGATGATACTAATTTGCTAGGTCCGGTGTTTCGATTTGGCCCTGATAGTATTTCGATCAATTCAAACACGGCACTAAAAACAATTTATGGCCACAAATCAAACGTCAAGAAGTCGCAATTCTATTCCGTGTTTCCTCCAACCAAGGACACATACAATACCCATAGCAGCATCGACAAAGTTAGTCATGCAAGGAAAAGAAGAGTTCTCTCACATGCATTTTCGGACAATGCTATCAAGACCATGGAGAAATACATTTTAGCTAACGTCAGAACTTTCTGTACAAATTTGGGTCAGCCAAAAGCATCAGCAGAAAAGTCAACTGGTGGATGGAGTGTTGCCCAGAACATGGCTGACTGGTCTAACTACTTGACATTTGATGTTATGGGTGATCTTTGTTTTGGAAAAGCATTTGAGATGCTGGAAAATGCATCCAATCATCATGTGATTGATTTGATTGGAAATGCTGCTCAAACTCACTTGATCGTAAGCACTTAACATGTCATTATGGAGGACATATGCTAACCTTTTAGACTGGCACCTACCCAATCATCAAAACCATTGGCCTGAGCAAGATTCTTTTCCGTAAGATTTACGCTCAAAGAATGAAGTACATGGCATACAGCAGAGCGCAAGCTGCCGAAAGAACAAAGATTGGCCTCGATACTGATCGAAAGGATTTCTTCTATTATCTTCTCAATGCTCGCGATGCGGAGACAGGCCAGGGATTTACCAATCCGGAGCTTTGGGCCGAGAGTAATTTACTTATTATTGCTGGATCTGATACCACGTCTACAGCTCTTGCGGCGGTTTTCTTCTACTTGGTTCACAACCCGGCTAAACTAGAGATCCTTACAAAAGAAATCTTGTCCACATTTTCTGATGTCGAAGATATTCATTCCGGTCCTACACTCAACAGCTGCCAATATCTAAGAGCAGTCATCGACGAATCTATGCGCCTCTCGCCACCCGTCGGCGGTATCCTCCCCCGTGAAGTTCTTCCCGGCGGCATCGATATCGACGGTCTCCACATCCCAGCAGGCTGCGTAGTCGGTACACCCCACTACGCCATCCACCACCACCCCTCTTACTACCCATCTCCCTTCACATTCATTCCCGAACGCTGGATTCCCTCTTCCCTACCCCAATTCACCAAAGAATCAGTAGCACTAGCTCAAAGCGCCTTCTGTCCTTTCAGTATAGGTTCGAGAGGATGCATTGGAAAGGGAGTCGCATATTTGGAGCTCATGACTAGTCTAGCTAGAGTCGTATTTATGTATGAGATGAGGATGGCGGAGGGATTTAATTTGGGTGAGGGTAGTGAGGATCAGGAAGTGGGAAGACAAAGGTGCGGAGAGTTTCAGTTGAGGGATAGCTTTACGAGTACGAAGGATGGCCCGTATGTGGAGTTTAGGGCGAGAGCTATGTGAGAGCTAAGTGAGAGAAGGTGTGGAGTTGTATCGCGAAACTCTTCGAAGGATGGAGGATGGACTCGGAGTTAGGTTAGGGGGCTGGGTAAGTGATTGATCGCGAAGAATTATTAATGGGTTTTTATAGCATGTATGTAGGGTCTAATATAACGAATCTAAGTACCGGTAGCTCGTTTGCTGCACAGTTAGTCTAGTCTCATGGTGATTTGATTTGATATGCTATGCTATGCTATGGCGCAGGATATCAATCAATGACTGATTTGATTTGATTTGATTTGATTTGATTTACAAAGATAAAATAACACGTAGTTCGTGGAGGGTTTAGATTTCCTATTTATTCCGTAAGGTTATCAAGCAATAATAGTAAGCCATATCCAATTCCAAACCATCAAGAATATTTTAATAAACACTGGGAACGAATCGTCGGATTCTCGATTTCGATTTCAATTTCCATTTCGTAATCTATTTGTTATCGTCACCGTTGATTTAGGTTAATAAGTTGAAGTTGAAGTTGAAGTTATTGGGTGGGTGAAATGATGATGATGATGATGATGATGGCTGGAGTATATTTGTATATTTGTATATTTGTAGGTAAAGTGATGAGTTGGGTAGTTTGGTTATGAATGTAATATATGTAGTCTTGGGACTTGAGACTTGAGACTTGAGTAGGGATTTTGAGATATTTTGCTGTTTTTATGTTCTTATGGAGATTTTTATTGTTGTGTTGGGAGGGGGTTGGGTTGGGTTAGGTGAGATGAGATGGGATTAGGTGAGATGAGATGAGATTAGATTGGATGAGATGAGATTCGACTAGTGTTACTTGAGAGTAGTGTTCAGTAATTGAGAATGAGAATGAGAATGAGAGGTGTATGAAGAAAGAAGAATGTAAGTTCAAGGGAGTCGTGAGGAGATGTGATGAGATGTGGAGTTTTATATATCGATTGTTTGGGAGACTAGATGATGAATGGGTTTTGGTGTTTCGATGTAGATTTTCTTTTTCATGGTGGATGCGATGATGTGGGAGATTGGAATGGAATTGATACCGGTATTGAGATAAAATTGTTGGTGTAGGTGCAGGTGTAGGTACGGGGACAGTGGTAGTGGTAGTGTGAGGTAGGGTGTGGTGTGGTGTTGGGGGTGATATATTGAGTGGAGTGAGTGGAGTGAGTGGAGAGGAATGCCTTTTCTTGTGTGTGTGTACATACATGTGTGTGAGGGGGGAAAAGGGGGGTTTCTTGAGGTATACAGGTTTTGTAATTTAACGGTTCTGTTGCATTCATTGCATTTTGCCATTCCTCCATGTGAAGACTTGATTCTTCATCTTCATCAACCTCCTCGAGTTCCTCCGCTGATACTTCTCCGATATCATCTTTGATTTTATAAATACTGGACTCCAAGGTCAGAGATTTTTATAAGGATTTTTGGATATTGTTTGGATTGTTCTTGAGATTTCTTGAGATTCTTTTGATGATGTTGAGGTTAACTTTTTGAGGGGTGGCTTGGAGTTTGATGTTTGTTATAAGACTTGAGGATATAAAATTTCATATATAGTATATATAAGGGCTATTTCTATGATTTCTATCTACCCTCGACTCCTTTAAAATAGTGAAATCGGATTTGAGAGTAATAATACTTTTTTGATATTTAAAGAGATGTTTCATAGACGTGGATCTTAGAGAAGAGCAATTTCTAGGAAATTCCTATCTTTCAATGATGTTATTCAAAAGTACCGCAGGAAGCTAATATTGTGAAATATCTAAGTACATATTGAGGAATGTGCCGTTTGGATGTAACATTTGACGAGGCTATTTTGAGTTCAGACTCAATCTGTCATTCGTTTCCAGAAGATTGATGCCGGATCGTTAGGCCAACAGTGACAGCACAGTGGCTTCAAACTACCATTACACTGGTTCCATGCCCCACGACTGTCTTCATAATGCTTGCACCAATCCTTCTTTTGCCAGTATCGTAGGCAATAACATTTTTCCTTCACAGCCTTACATTCTGGCCATGGTGAATATGTATTATCGTCTTTGTACTGGTCTGATGGGTTTCCGGTAGTATCTCTGAGAAGATCAGTATCCGAGTTGAACAGAAGAGAGTCAAGTTATGGAATATTCTTACTTTGGTGTTACCCACTGGGACATTTTTATCATAGACATATGCTGACGAGGAATCGTGAGGGAGAATCGAAGGACATTGTCTAGAATCATGAATCGGAAATAATTCTCACTGTAGAGCAGCGGTAATATCTCCTCATACCTATTTCAAATAGTTTTAGTTTGAGGGTATCCTGAAAATAGGTCACGGCGTAAACTTACATCTTGCGACAAACCATTAAATGACCTCTCAAACCTCTGCTCTTCTTCGTGAAATGACAACCCTGTCCATTTTGCTTATTCCCTATAGAGATATGCCTATAGCTACTATAACCCTACTCTAACCCCAATACACCTGGTTTCGCATCTAGCTTCCAAAACGTGATTTTTGATATTCAATTTAGTCGAAAATATTCTCGAGTAGCCTCACTATAGCTATTGATTAATAACATTTATTTTTTAGCAGATGAGTGTATATCCACATACAATTATGAACTCATACTTTAAATTCACTAAAATTGAAGTAAATCTCAAATTGTTGAAGCTATGCTATAATGATATTGTTACTATTGTTCAAACTGTAGGTGTTTGAATATTAGTTAATAACTACTATTTATGACTAATCAAACTAATAATTTCCCAATGATACTAGACTCAGCCTATAATTTAGCACCTCGCTTGTAAATTGTATCTACTCGAGTAATACTCACTCAAGTATCCGAGTCGTTCTCCTATCACCTCACGTCTCCTCCGGAACAACTCTACTTATTCAAGACACAGCCCCAATCAAACAATTAAGAATATTTGAGATAGAATCCCGGCAACAAACTGACAGCAACAAGAAGTCCACCGAAAATTCATGATTCAAGTACGTCAATAAGTTAGTAGACATGATTTTAGATCCTGTAGATATATGCCAAAAACTTTCGTAAGAGTAAGAACAGGAAATGCTATCAAAGATTTGTTTAAATTCATGTTCTATAGAACTAAAGTCTAGGGGTAACGATTTACATTGATATCTCCGCATAAGCACCAGTTCCAGTGATAATAGCAACCCATGTCAGCCCCGTTAGCGAAGTAGGAGTTCAAGGTAGTCGTCCATATTGCTTTTAGCACTTTGATTTTGAGACCGCAAGCTCAAGATCAATCCCTATATTTAAGAGAAGAGGTCTTCTACGATTTTCGGGTTGTCTGGGCTGTGGGCTGCTTGTCAAGATACTAAATAGTAGTGTATAGTAGCGATGATTTTTGCCATTTGCATGTTAATCAATAGAAGTCTTAGAAGATGAGAGGAGTAAAGATTAGAATATTCAGAAAAACTTCAGCCGTTGATTGCGAAAAAGCTTGTGATACATTATACAGTTTATAATATGAAACACAATTCTTCATACACCTAATTGAAACCGTTTTTTGCATGCCTCGTACTTTATACACCTTGAAATCTTTCGAAAACAATTGAGTGAGTGCGTGACAGGGGTTGTTATAGCGGGACACTACTCATACACCTCGCTTAAGAATACAGTAGTATAGTTCAGTAATAACTACGTCATACGAAAGCCTACTGTAACGTCTTCAGAAAAAACGCATATAATATTATACCGAGAATGAAGTTCGTTATGGGATTGGGAAACTTGAGATTTGTCCTGATGAGTAATTGATGGGTTGAATTGTATAGATATATAGGTTCCGCAGAAAGCTTTAGAATTGTTAGTGCACCCAAACACAATATTCCGAAGAAAAATTTCTGGTCGCCAGAAGTTGAATTTCGGTCTGAATTCAAACTCTACGGAGTTATAACAACATATACAATATATACCGCTCTCTACAAGTCAACATGGCGTTTTATATAGTATTGCCTAAGGTTATCAACCTAAAAAACGCGAATTATACTAATCCACAAACTCCAAAGATATTTTCCAACCTTAAAAACTGCTTTAAAAGAAAATAATATATCTTTACCAATGAGGTATCATCAATCTTCAAATTAGGAAATAAAGCATACACTAATAATACTAATTCAATGATAAAGGCTTTTAAGACCAAACTTGCTGAATACAAATATGCTAAAAGAATTCAGCGAAAGATTATAATCAGCCTGGTAGATATAATCGATAAATACATCAATTTCTTTACTACAGGGGATAAACAAACTGCAACCAGGAAACTGAGCATCAGAGTCATAAAAATCCTTATACTTATTATCAACAATAGATCCGATCTATTGTTAAGCCTATTGTATATATCACCAGCAACAAAAAGTGTGGCTTTTTTAAAGATATAAACCACTACCAAAACCTACGTGGAAATCTTTAAGATCTCCAAAACAAGTCAAACTGGGGCGGGCTAAGCAGATTTATCTATATCTCAAAAGGCCCTATCAAAGACTCCATTCAATAATGTATGCATCAAACAATGGGCGACATAAACCGCCCGGAGCACAGATCACAGGCTACTAATAGTTATCAGCTCTGTAGCCTGGATCAGCCGATCAGCTCCATATATACTAAGAAACACCCTCGTTGGAGTAATTATAAGCCTAATATTGGCAGATGTTCCTACTATATCTGTTACTAAGACAGGATAGATTATTATACCAAAGAACCTAGTAATCTACAAATTACTTTTTATACAGGAGAATAAGAAAATCATTCTTCGAATCAGCCGAGGCACACAAATATATCAATCGGTAATGTGGTACAACTACACAGTCCCCGGAGTCCCAATATCGATACATATATTGAATAGACTCCTAGCTAACACTACAAATTATATAGAAGCAAAGATATAGGCACAGACAGGCCAATCCCTAGTCAACTGTAGACCTTCCCGATACAGAGCCAATCCCTATAATGATACAATCACATAGATAATATCCTTCCTCGAACTAATCCATGGTTTTAG